ACCAAGCCACTGACAGCAGAGATCACTATTGCTGCCAAAGCACACTGTGAAATCAAGAGAGTGAAAGTTAGAAGCCAGAATCTAGTTTCACAATTCTCCAAAGTTTCAGAGAAAGCATCAAGTACTGGAAACTGAAATATTCACCACAGGCAGACAGACCTGTGGTATGTATTTAAACATTGGTGTCAAGAACAGTAGAGAACATCCAATGATGATTCCTGTTATAAGTCCTGATAAGCCAGTCTTCGCTTCACTTTCATGATTCACAGCTGACCTAGAAAAGGATCCTAAATTTTGCATTCAGGAGATTAACAGATTCGTCAAAAATAAGTTAGTAAATTGTAAGACAGATTTATGAACTGTATAGAGGTTAAATCCGTATTGTTTAATACTAATGGCTTTTCTCATCTCAAGATAACGTACCTGTAGATGGGTATGCCGAAAAAAATGACCCCAATATGTTTGCAACACCAAGACCAAACAACTGTCAAGTGAGGGCAGAAACAGTTGAGCTTTCAATGAAAACAGCCGCAAAGAAAAAGAAAGAAAAACAGCAACATTGTCTATAACAATTGGGCTACTACTCAATTTCCCTTAGTCAAGAAGAATACCTCTGAATTTGAATCCAACTCATATCTGTTTTTTGCTGCAAGTGCTTTGGCAATTCCCACAGATTCCTGGATAAATAATGTTGAACTGCTTCATTCATGATCGATTAAACATAATATTAATGGACATGTGTCACTGCATCTGAATCTTATTAAGACATTTTTATTCTTTTTCTTTCTTTACAAAGTCAGATAAGCCATCTCTATCAATTTATAGTTTCTCATGATTAGGTTCAGCTACGGTTTCCATATGCCCACTCAGATAAAAAATAATGATGTTGATGTCTCACCAAGATGGCAACACCAGTAATCAGAGCTGATGTTGGAAGCAATGTTTTTACATGATCAAAACTCCTTGGAAAAGAAAATGTTGGAAGCCCCTGAGGTATTTCTCCCACCTGAAACATACTAAATTTTGCTATTACTGCACGCACATTTAACCAATATGTAGCAAAATTATCTGTAACAATTGGTTCTTCAGCGATCTGACCAGAGAGATGGAAGGTGGATGGAACACTTTTGCTATGGTTGTACCGAGCACAATCCCTGTTAGTGGCGCTGCTGCTCGTAAGAACTGAAGTTCCTTCTTAGCTTTACCCTGCCATGAAACACCATGACCTTATTATCACATTAATAAAGGAAAGTACTGTTTCCCTGGTATCACTGAAAAACACAAGGCTCATACCACTTGCTTCATCACTTGAAGGATCACCAGAATGACAGATCCCATCAAGAAAGGTGGCCACTGAAACTACAAAAGAGAAAAAAAAATCTATCTAAACAAAGTACGAATAAGTAGAAAGAAAAGGCTTTCTTACAAACTGATTCACCAATAGAAATCATGATATTCAAGCAAAATCACCATAGCATGACATTTCCAAAATGCAGTCTAAGCTCCATGAGGAGAGCCAGATATACTATAAGTTATAGCCACCATATATTGACAGTCTTTAAGTAATTACAGTCCTCGGGGGAAGTGAGTAGAAAAAAAAATATGCAGATCAATATGTAAAGAGGTGGAAATCCAAAATCACAGTCTAGATCATACTTATAGATCCCAATTAAAAGACTTAGCCAAATAGGAATGGCACTTTCTAACTGTCCAAAGCTAAAAAATAGATCCCGCTAAACAAAGTACAAATAAGTAGAAACATAAGGCTTTCTTAACCATACTGAGACACCAATAAAAACAATGGAATGCAAGCAAAATCAGCATACCATGACGATCCAAAATACAGTCTAAGCAACAAGAGGATAGAGAGACAGAGAGCCAGAAATAATTATAGTTATAGCCACCAGGTACAAGCAGTCTATGGGTATTTACAGATCAAAAGAATATGCAGATCAAAATATAGAGAGGTGATACACAAAATTTCTGTCTAGATCAACCTTATAGATCCCAATTTAAAGACCTTAGCCAAAGAGGAGTGTATTTTTTTCTAACTGGTCAAAACTGAAAGTGGAAGTTTCACCTTGTCAGCTCCAGCTATTATGCTCTCTACTATTGGCACAATCTTGCTGCTCCGAGCAACGCTATACCCCAGGAAGTATTTCACTTGAGATAATCCAATCACAACAGCCGAAGCAGTTGTGAATCCAGATATGACCGAGTGACTAATGAAACGAATAAGCCAGCCAAGCCTAGTTTAAAAACACAAAACAAGGAACATGCTCAATCATGACACATAAATAAGTAGAGGACTTTTGATTTAACGGGTTACATTTACCGCACAAGCAAGTTAAGTGAAGTGAGTAGCAGTCTCTTCTCTAATTTCCAAAGAACCTAATCCTATTACCTTAAGAGCCCCATGATGCACTCCAAGATTCCAACCAAAAGAGCCAACATAATAGCCAGCTCAATATGTAATTCCTCTTCTGACGAATCAGCGATTCCGCCCAAAGCATTAGAGACAAGAAGAGACACCAATGCTACAGGTCCAATCGCAAGCTGACGGGACGAGCCGAATACAGCATACACAAAAATCGGCACAAACGAAGAATCTGCATCAAAAGTTAGAAAACTACATCAAAAACTGACAACAAATATGCATTTCTTTAAATCAAGAGAAGAAGAGCTCCATATCATTTCTATGAATTCACAAGAGCTTTGTATCGCAATATAAAACTCACATAGACCGTATATTGGAGGAAGTCCAGCTAGTTTTGCATACGACATTGCCTGGTCAAATCCATCAGAAATTTATTCAATAAAAAACCAAATTCGCATCGAACAAAATCCATATATACTAAAAAAACTTCAATTCATAATCTCGTAAGCTATACAACAACTTCAATTCCACCTTCCTTAAGATATTTGCGAAATTGCTAGATTAATACCTGAGGAACAAGCATAATACCGACGGTGATACCAGCCATGAGATCGAGCTTAAAATACTCATTCCATCGATAAGTTCGAATCCATCGGAAGCAAGGGAATAGAGTATCGATCCAATCGACGAGCCTCATGCGTTTGATCTTGGCCGTCCATCGGGAGAAGATATCGTCGAAAGGGATCGAAGGAGGACGAGATTCGTCGGAGGTGTCGGGATGCTGGAGCGGGATGACCTTAACGGGTCGGGTCTGACCCGGAAGCTTCGGGGAAGAAGAAGAAGAGCCGCTTCCGGATCTTGAAACGAGGCTGGTCAGGTCTTTGACGCTGAGAGATGCGTAGGACATGGCTGGTGTGCGCAGCTTTTGGCGCACTTTAGAAACCGTTGATGAAGAAAGAATGAAATAACTGTGAAAGAGCAATCGTATATCATCATCATTTATTAACTTTGTTTGTTTCAACAAA